GTTCTTAATTCCCATATCCTGTCCATTCTTCACTCCCTTTTGTCCTCCTATGCTCACAGATGGTTGGTTGGTTGCTCTGATTGGTTGGTTGGTCGTTGTGCAGGAGGAGATATTCGCCAGGATCGGCAAGCCTATCACAGATGCCTGCCTACAGGGGTATCATTGTTGTCTCATTGCCTATGGTAGGGGCTCTTTGTTTTTTTTCCCTTCTTTTCTAACAATTGCTTGTTGATCACGAATGATCTTTTTTTGCGTTTCAAACAAAGTCTGTGTTCTCATCATGGTGGGAACATGGACCCCGCCTGGCTTGTTGATCACCAATGCCCGTCCATCGTTTTCCGGGCCATTGGAATAGACCTTTGCTCCAAAATTTCGATTAAGTGGGAACATGGACCCCGCCTGGCTTTTCAGCCCATCATGACGAAAGTTTTTTTGTTTGTTTTGTTTTCCTTTTTTCATGGTGAAAGTTCGACATTCGGTCAGTTAGTCAGTTTTCCCCGTTGGACAGGATGGCGGTGGTTTCGCCGTACGACACGTACGGCCGTACTCGCACGAGGACTTTCCTAGATGCATCTGACTGGTTTTGCGGCCCTGCCTGGATGCACCTGACCGCAATTACGCCCCCAGGTGCGTCTGTTCCCACAAATTCGTCGTCAAAAAAGCGTGGCTCGGAAAGGGTGTCGATCCCACAGAAACATGATTTTTTTTTTTGAATCGTACGCTTCACGTGCCGCCGATCCCAAGTATCGAACATGAACTCCTGAAAAGAAAGGAGGCACACCTTCGGGATCGGGATCGCGATTGGAGTTATTCATCATCTTGCCTGAGGGCGGTCGACCTGGGCGTTCAAACCGACGACTACCTTAAGCTCTATTCCAACTCAGTCGAACCGAGTTTGTGCTCGAAATGAAAGGGTGTTAAAAAAAAAAAGAAAAAAGAAAAAAAAGAAAAAGAGAGGGAGTCTACAGTGATTTCGATATTGAAACTCCGTGGAGCTGAGTTTGTCCTCTGAGAGAACTTCATTGACTTTCGCGGAGTGCCTGCAGTGCCACCAAGCCCTCACCAGCGTGAAAGCTGGCTTCAGCTTATGTAGTGTTTTTTTTGTTGTTTGAGTGGCAACGTTTTCCAAATTTTCCTTTTGAAAACAATTCGCCGCCCTGAGTGCGTACAAAGGCCAGCGGAGAAAGCCCTATCGTCTTTTCCAGGAAAAAAACAATGCACAGTCATTATCGCTGTATCTAGACTGAAAGTTAGTTACTATCACCGGGCGTTCTATTCGGGGGAAGACGGTAGTGTGAGCGCATCTTTACTTTGGAGGTTGCTTTCGGAGGCTAAATACTGCCGTCTTTCCCCCGATCACAACGCAGCCTCATCGCCAGTGTATTGGACAAGAAAACGAGCTTGTACTCGCTCATTATAGGGGTGCGTTGTCTTCAGGGGAACGACGATACTACTTCCTTCCTGAGGACCGTCTTCCCGACTATTTCAACCTGTGCGCTTTTTTCTTTTTGGAACTCCAAAGAGAGCGCGGAATTTCAAGATCGGTCTCTCATTATAGGGATATATGTGCTCGCTCATTATTTGTGCTTGCGGCGTGTAGAAGCCGCCGATTGTATTCAGTCAATCCCTCGCTGTCTCCGCTTTTCGAATAAATACGGTCCTTATCCTCTGCTGCATGTAATAATAGGCCATGCTTTGTTCACGTTCCGACCCAAGACCGGATACGCTTCCTTGGCTGGTTCTCTTCTCCCTATACTTGTCGGCGCGCGCCTCTCCTTGCTGTGATTGCATTCCTCTGTGGATCTCTCGTTGTCAATGTCCTCTCCTTCCTCGTGGTTTTCTTCCAGGTTATGCGGAAAGCAGCAGTGGGAAGGAGGGGGGTTGATTGGTAGTAATCTTGTGAGAACACCTAACAGAAGAAGAGAACAGATGAAGTAACAAGTCAGGCTTGTGAGCAAGCTACAACTCAGAGGAAACTACTCGCTAGAAAAAAGCCTTCCGTCCGCATCCGAATAGAACGCCCCCCGTTCATTATCACTGCATCCGGACTGAAAGTTGTACCCAATACAGCTGTAATGAAGACGGAAGTCGGTGCGCGTACGTAGCATGGATTCATTGTTGTCGGAACAAACCATGAGATGATATAGTAAATGAGTTTTAAATAAGTAATTTAAAGGTAGATTTGTCTATACAATAGTTTCTTCCACGAAATGAAGACCCAGAACAGAAGAAAGTAGTCGCTAGAAAGAGCCCAGACTATTTGCTAGAAAAGGCCCGGTGTTTTTTTTTTTTGTGTGTGTGAGAAAGGCCCGGTTATTGCCCGTAGCATGGACGCATTGTCAATCGGAGCAGACCATGAAATGATATAATTATTAGATATAGTACTAGTGAATAGAAGCTATGTCGATATAATAATAATTTCCTTGACGAAATGACAAACTCAGAGCAGAGCTTTCGCTGCGCTCTGTGCTATCGTCCCCCAGGACTTAGGGTCAGATCCCACGACCCTGGATTATTCATTTTTCACCCTCGATTGCGAAGATCAACGGTCCGAAATGAACAATAGGGGCTAGTGGGATCTGGCCCTTAGAAAAGATCATGACCCCGCCATGCAAGAAGAGTGGTGCATCATGGAGGTGTCACACCTTGTGGTGCGTGGTTACGAAAACTTTTAAGGAGGACATTTCAACCAAGGAGTGCGCTATGAATCATGGCTCCTTCAGCGTTTTGCGGGGCAGGCTGGCGTTTCTATCTTAAGTAAAAAAAACACGTTCTTACTCAGAAAAGAACGTTATTCATGAAGAGTCGTGCATCATGGAGAGGAGTTGAATAAACAACGCGAAAACTTTGAGGAGGACAGTTCAACTAAGGAGTGCGCTGTGAATCACGGCTTCTTCAGCGTTTGCGGAGCTAACTGGTGTTTCTATCTTGAGCAGAAAGCACATTCTTACTCAGAAAAACGTTATTCATGGGAGAGTTGTAGTTGGTGTTTCTATCTTAAGCAAAAAAACACATTCTTACTCAGAAGAACGTTATTCATGGGAGAGGAGTTGAACAAACAACACAGAAGCTTTACGTGCAGGCAAATGAGCTGCATATCGGAAAGCCAATGCTTATGGAGAACCTAGGAGGTGTGATTGGGGTGATGGAATGGTGTTTGTGAGTCGAACAAACAACGTGGAAGCTTTACGTCCAAGCAATTTTTGAAATGATGAGTGTTCCCCCCCTCCTCCTCCCCCCCCTTCGCCCCCCTCCTCTCCCCGGCCCTCCCCGGGGGGGGGGGGGAGGGGGGGAGGAACAAAGAAAGAAATGATGAGTGAGTGGTATCTCACATATCCCTTCCGTATTTTAGAGGCGGGCTCCCCAAGACTTTGTTACGACCAGTCGGCCGCCAAAACCTCTGTCCCTATCTCTCTGTCACAGTCTCTCTCTCTCTCTCTGTCTGTGTCTCTCTGTCACACCTTTATCGGTTGTCAAGCAGTATGGGCCGAACGGGACACATGGTGTTAAAACAATTCTCTAAGAATCAGCGACGCTTTGGGACTCGATCCAGTCCCCAACACTCTAGATGTGTCCGGCGCTCCTAGTCGTGCTTATACATTCCTAATGTTGGACTCCTTGAAACGCATCTGGTCGAGAAAGGCGTCCAAATGCATGTAGATTGTTGTGAACAAAATGATGTAGAGCCTCGCTTCACCACTCACCCAACGTGGAAAAGGACAAAAATTGCCGAACGTATGTTTATATATAAATAAGTCTATTTGATCATAAATACAAGACTGTATTTTATATTTTACAGGATAATAATTGTATCTATTACTATATCATTCTTATTGATTTGAATATAGATTTCGTTCTTTCTATTCCTCGTGTTCCCTTTCTGGCGGCAGATGCAGTCGACATTTTTATACCGTTGGTGATCTGTGCGGTGAGGGCCACAGTTGGTAAATCGATCTCGATTCTCAAAGCATCCGTCTTTATCAGGTCTTTTAGAAGGATGCACACCCACATCCGAACCGCCGTCCTCTTTTTCGGGCTCAATGTGAATCGATCTCAAAGCATGTCTTCGCCCGAACATTATGCACCCTCATCATGAATGTATTATGCACCTTCATCATGGTTGTATTACGTACCCTCGTCATGAATGTACTGGATCGGAAACGTAGGTTTTATACATGCATTATGAGGGTTCATTGTGTTTTGGAGGAAGACGGTGTTGCTGCGGTAACGAGTGTTATGACGGAATGAGTGTATTGACTGCATGTGGTGATTTGCTGGATCCGTTTAACTAAGTGTTCTCCACTTTCTCTCTGTCGTGTGCTTCTCTCTGTTTCTTAATGGGCAGGGCAAACTGGTGCAGGGAAGACCTTCACGATGGAAGGTGCGTTAGGATTGATGCGTTTTCTGGTTTGCTCGCCGGTACTTGGGACGTTGTATGTCTTCTCTAACACTTCCCTTACCTCCGTACATGAGGTGTTGGGCTTCTATCATCAGCCGTTTAATGAAGCTATCCGAAGTGCACGATGAGGTGTTGGGCTTTTATCATCTCAGAAGCTAAAATACTGTGCACAATGCAAGTGCTAACCTTTTATTGGCATCGGACGCTTCTCCCCAGTGTTGCAGTAGGGTAATTAACGGATATCCTTCTGTTTGGCATGCCTGGCCATGCCCTCTGCACTGTTTTCCTAGACTACCCAGTCCTTATGCTTGTTAGCATGATTTCTTCCAACGTGAACACATTATCCACTTTGCCTTCGGGTCTGTTAATGGATCGTCATTGGAGCGGAGGATCGGCTGGGTCAAATTGGGAGAAATTACATCACCATATGATTTGTAGTGTATCTGGTTCTTATACCGTCTCCTGGACAACGCGATCCTATGTTCAGAGGCCCACCTTGCTTCCCGGAATGTATAAGGAGCCAAAACCGTGAGGCTCTGTTTTAAAAAAAAAAAAAAAAAAAAAAAAAA